CCCCCCCCCGCCCCTTCCCCTCTGCCTTTCCTTCCATCGCCACGCCGACCAGCCTCGGGATCCGGCATCCAGACGCATTGCGCGTCGGGCAGCTGTGACACAGCACCCTCCACCCCTGCAGTCACCATGACCTCGCCCGCTTCTCCCCGGGGTAGCCTGCCAGGGCTGCAGCTCCCGCCTGGCGATCGGACGGCCATCGCGCGACATCTGTCCGCGTCGCTGCCGATCCGGCGAGTGCTTCTCGTCTGTAAGCACAACGATCTGAATGTCTCGGCCACTCTGGCCAGCGTGGCTTCCTGGATTTTGCAATACCACACCTACGACGCGGCACACGAGGCAGCCTCGGTGGCGATGACCGTGGCCGCCACCACTGCCACACCGCCCTCGCCCTGGGCCACCAGTACGTCCATATGCATCCCCCCCCCCCCGTCTCTTGTGGCTATCGACCACCGATCTCCGGTGCTGCCCCCTGCCTCGCTCCTCCCCATTGCCATGGCCGTCCATCCCCGATGGGCTCCATTCTGACGGTCGTTCCCGTCAAATCCACCAAGCTCCCGGCTCCGATCGCCCGGCACACCCGCCGATCCTCATCTTCCTGGAAACGTCCAACTTCCTGGACCAACATGTCCGCCAGGTGCGCGCATACGCCTCTTGCGGATCTCCTACCCCCGCTGCTGCTCCCTTGCCAGGCGGCAGGCCCCCCCCCCCCTCCCCCCCTGCTCCTCATCATGGAGATGATCCACCCCGGCTTCTCGCGACCGCTGACCCCTTGCACATGTGCGCACATCCATGCCCAGACCGGCCTCCTCGACAGCGATCGCGTGGTTCCCTTTCTCCCGGCCGGCGAAGCGCGGCGCTGTGTCCGGTCGCTGTTGGCATTCAAGCAGCGCCTGCAGCAGCAGGCCGCTTCATTGGATGATGGCCCCTGTCCCATGAGCCCTCTATCGACGGAGGACTGTATGCAGTGCAGCTCCGCTTGCTCCGAGCCCTTCTGCGAATCCTCCCACTCGGACATCGATCTGATTGTGACTCTTGGCGGCGACGGCACGGTCCTGTACGCTCGGCGTCTCCCTGCTCCTCCTGTTTTCCCCCTCTCCTGCCACGGCTGCCAAGGGGCCTTCCCACGCTATCCCACTGTGTCCTCGAGGCCCCTCCCTCTTGCCCTCTGCCTTTCCCCCCCCCCTCCCTCTCTCTCTCTCCCTCCCTCTGTTCCCCCCCCCCCCACATGTGAGCACTCACACACCTCCCCCAGTCGTGCTTCTTCGCTCTTTCCTCGGCATATGCCGCCAGTGCTTCCTCTGCGCCTGGGGACACTGGGCTTCTTGACGCCCCACTCGGTTGGCAGCTTCCCGCGCAAGTTCCAGTTGATCGCCACTGCTGTGCGTTGGCCTTCGCCCTTTCGGCCCTTCTGCCCCCCTTCCCTCCCCCCCCCGCCCTTCTAGCCTCGGGCTGCGGTTTTCCTGACATGATCTCCGGCTTTTCCCCCTGCTCTCTCCCTTCTGCGCTCGGGGCCTGCACGTGAATGCCGGCCCCCCAGCAAGCGGCCATCACCCACAAGATGCGCATCCAATGTGCCTACGTACCACACGATGTGGGCGCCGCCAGCCCCGGTCTTGTGCCTGCCTTTGGCACCCTGGGAATGTCCACCTCGGCTCCTTCTCTGTCGCTGCCTGTCGGCGAGTCGCCAAGCCAGTCCCCCGGGGAGGCTGCCTGTCCCCCGACCGCCGGCGGGCCCAGCCGCAGCAGCGCCGTTCCCCTCTGCTCTCACTCCAACGACGAGCGCTGCTCCCCCCCCGGTGGGGCGACCGAACCGTCATCCTCGTCTTCGTCATCCTTGTCGAATGGCTGCTGCCGGAATTCCGGTCGTCCCGCCGGCAAGGAGGGCAGCCACCCCCTCTGTGCCGGGGCCGGCTCCTCGAGCGACCCGAGCCAGGCTCACGTTCGGACTTTCCATGCGCTCAATGAGCTGGTGATCGATCGGGGCGTGTCGCCGCACCTGACCGCCCTGCAGCTGGCCGTCGGAGATCGACACATGCGCGGAACCATCAATGCCGACGGGCTGATCATTGCCACGCCCACCGGCTCGACGGCGTACTCCCTGTCGGCCGGTGGGAGTCTCGTCCACCCGGCGGTTCCGGGGATCCTACTGACGCCCATCTGCCCGCATGGGCTGTCCTTCCGCCCGGTCATCGTCCCGGCCACCGTGCCCTTGACCATCACCAATCCCCCCCTGCCGAGCACCAGCTCGGCCCCTCCTTCAGTTTCCTCCTCCCACACCGACCTCGACCTGGCAGCCAGTGGCATGGCCCTCGGCGCGTCGCTGCTCGGAGGCATGGGCTTCGCCTCTTCGTCATCCTCCGAAGAGGCAGCAATGCCCGCCCTTCCTGGCGGCGACCAGGGCGATGCCACTGCCGCTGCGCCTGGGGCCGGGGCCGGGGCCGGGGCCCGCGCGACGGGCTACCCCCCGCTGGTGAGCCTTCCCCGTGCTGGAACCGGGCTGGCCTTGGCGACATCGGCTCCGGCCCCGACGTCCCGTGCGTCTGCCTGGCTGACCGTCGATGGGAACCAGGTGGCGGAGCTTCGCCGGGGGGATCATGTTGTGGTGTCGGTTTCGCCCTTCCCCGTGCCGATTGTGTCTCGGTGCTCCGACGCCACGGACGACTGGTTTTCCTCGCTGGAGCGTTGCCTTCAGTGGAATGTGCGCGAGGGCTATGTCCCGCCGGCGCAGACCGGTGCCCACCACCGGAGCCCCCCCTCCGGCCATGGCGCGACTTCTGTGGCTGGCGCTGGCGCCGGCCTCTTCCCTCCTGGGGCATTCTCATGACCGGCCTGCCTCACGCTCACCTGTTCGCACTGCTTGCGCTGCTCCTTTGCGCGCCTGCCGCTTCTCGAAAGGCGGGGCCGGGGGGTGACCCTGGGGCGCACTTGACTAGATCCCCCATCCTTATGCACATTTCCCTGCGTGTGTCTCCTTCCTCCTTCTTTCCCTCCCCTCCTCTCTCTCTCTCTCTCCCTCTCTCTCTCGCTCTCGCCCCCGGAGGGATGGAGCAGGATCGCGCGTGGCTGGCCGCCAGAAGGCAGAACAAAATACATCCCTCTCCTGTTGTGGGCTCTTTCTCTCGGCCTGCTGGGCATCTGTTCCTCTCTCTCTCTCTCTCTCTCCGGGGGAGCCGTGCTCTTCCTCCCCGAACCTGCCCCCCGCCCCTGCGCGCGCGTGTGTGTGTGTGTGTGTGTGGTGGGAGAGGGCCAGGGCGGCGGGCACGGTCGACAGCGGCGGTCACGAACGGCCCGTATCACGTGCCGGAACTTCCCACAGAAACCCTCCTCCCTGAAGGGTATTTTCGTGCCGGTGTCCTCCCCCTCTGCGGCGCCGCCCCCGGCCGGTTGTCCCCCAGGCATCGGTCCGCTCGGCGGCCGTCCAATATGTCTGTCCCGCCTTTGCGGTGTGTCTGTCTCTTGTTGAGAGTGGGGGGGGGGGTACCGCCTGGACGTGAGTGCCCCCAGCTCCGGGCAGTTGTGCTTGTCATCCTGCCCCCTCGACGAGGACGCCCTGCCCTGTTGGGAGGAGGGGCAACGGCGGCGCCGGATGACTGACCGTGTTCCCCTGTATTCGCGCTTGTGTCAGCGAGGGCTGGCGATGTCGGGGGCGGAGGGGGGGCGGAGGGGGGGGGGGCAACTCTTGCCAACGGGCATTGGGACGGGGCCATATGGGCAAGTGATGCGCCCGAGTCATCTGCCCCCCCCCGCCCCCCCCGCACACGCCCCCGGCTCGATGTGGCGAGATTGCTCGCTGCACGCGTGAAGACGCCCGCGCCTCGCGAAATGAGATGACTGGCGTGCCTGGCAGTTCCAGTGCCGGCCCCGCGACCAGGCGGGCTTTTCCGTCCTGCGTGTGTCCCACGGCCGAATCCGCAGGACGCGGCGAAACAAGCGCGCCGGGCCGTGGCCCTCCCAGCGGCGCGGTGGTATGTGCCTGCCGCCCCTGCATAGTCTGGTTACGAGCGACAAGCCCAACCCCCGACGGATGCCGCCACGCCCTCCCGCCCTTCCCCCTGGCGGTGTCCGGCTGACATGCCGCCGCGCGGGCCATCCCCCCCTCCCCCCCCCCCGCCGGAGAGGCTAAACATTGAAACCCCACCGATTCCAGATCAGATCCCCCCCCCCGTTGGATATTTTCCTCCTCCACATCTCCACCAGCCGGACACCGCCCCGTTGGTGTCTTCCCCTGCGCCCCCTTCTGCTCTCCCTCCCCCGCCCCCTCCTGCTCTTCCGCGCCCCCTCTCCGCTCGTCTCCTCCTCGAGCAGGACCGCACCGGACCTCCGCGACGCCTCTCTCTCTCTCCCTCCGGCCATGACCGGCTCCTCTCCGGACGCACAGCCGCTGCTGGATCCCAACAGTGCCCCGGCGGTTTTCTCCCTCTACGACGATGACGCCGACGATTATGGTTCCCACCAGCAGGCCGAGCTGAGCATTAACCACAACAGCGGATCGACCGACCTTGACAGTGAGATTGTTCGTGCCTCGCCCGACTGCGTCCTCCCTCCCACAGCCTGACGCAATGCGCATGCTCTACACCGGCGACTCCTCCCCCCGCCCCCCCCCCCTTCCCATGCCACTGACCCTTCGCCTCGCTCCCTCCGATGGCCGTGCTCCCCCTTCCCCCCTCCTGGCTTGACCCTCTGTGTCAGGCCCCTTCGGCCTCCAGCGCCTTCCGCCGCGTCCAGTCGGCATCGCATGTGTCCAGCCTCGGGCAGCCGGTCCCCGGCGCCGATGCGGCGCTTCTGCCGCCCGGCAAGGACACCGGCCTGTCCTACGATGCCCTCTCCTCGGACGCCGACTCGGTGCAGACGCGCAACCGGTCGGCCACCTCACCCGGACACTTCGACACCATGCCCGTCCTTTCACACCTGACGACCACCTTCCAGACCCTGATGAATGTACGTGCGGCGTGTGACACTCCTCTCTCTCTCTCTCTCCTCCCCCGCTCCCAGCTACCCCCCGCCGCCCCTCATTGCCGGCGCCCCAAGCAACACCGCCACATCGTCACTGACTTGCACCCTTTGTGCGACGCCCCGATCGGCGCCCCCCTCCCCCCCTCCTCCTTCCAATCCCTTCCTGCTTGCGTCGACAGATCACCAAGTCCATTGTTGGTGCCGGGTCTTTCATGCTGCCGTACTGCCTGAAGAACATGGGCATCATCGGCGGCTCCTTGACCATCATTCTTTTCGGCCTGGTTTGCACCTACTCCGTTCTCATCCTGGTTCGGTGCAAGCGCCTCGTCGCGTCGCGCACCTTCAAGCGCGAGCTCACTTATGTGGATCTCGGTATGGCCGGGGCCCGCGTGTTTTCCCTGTTTTGCCCTCCTCCCGCGCCGCTCTTCGACAAGCCGACACACACACACACACACACACTGACATCCTCCTCAGCGCGCGAGGTCTTCGGCCCCAGCCTCTCTGTGGGTGTTTTCCTTCTGCTGATTTTCGCCTCCCTCGGTGTGAGTGCCTCCTACATTGTCTTTGTCGGTGACACCATGCACGATGCGTACCCGAGGTTCTCAAGCTTCGATTACAAGCTTGTCACCACGCTCATCATCCTGCCGATCACCTGTACGTTCACCGACCTCACCGGGCCCCGCTCCGTTCAGCTTGGCCGGCGCCCTTTTCCAACAGCCTCGAGCGGCCGGCGATCCATCCTCTAACCTGCCAATCTGCTTGCCTCTCCCGTCCCCCTCCCCAACCAGGGCTTCGCACCCTCAAGGCCCTGTCCTACACGTCGGTCGTCGGAACCCTCTGCCTGGTCGTGGGCATGGTCGTGACCATGGTCTATGGCTTCGATCACCACCTGGATGACCTGCGCACGGCCGACCCGACGCTCATTCGCTTTGACACGTACTTCCACTCCTTCGGCTCGGTGGCTTTCCTCTTCTGCATCAGCTTCCTGGTTCTGCCAATTGAGCGGTCCATGCGCTACCCCCGGCGGTTCTGGCTGCCGTTGGCCCTGTCGGTTGCCTTTGTCTCGCTGTCGAACATCGTCTTCGCCATCCTGGGCTACCTCTTCTTCGGGGAGGACATCTGCTCCAACATCCTGCACAACCTGACCATCCCCTCGGTCCTGGTGGATGTCATCAAGGTGGCCATCTGCATTGACTTGATTTTCACTTACCCGCTGATTTTCTCCGCCGGCCGTGAGATCGTCGAGAATGCCCTCCTCCGCCCGGGCGTGGTGCACTCTCTCGACTACCTGAAGCGCTGTGGCATTCGAACGGTCCTTGTGGCCCTGACCTTCGGCCTGGCCCAGGTGAAGTCCTTCGGCCTGATCACCAACCTGGTCGGTGTGCCGATGTCCCTGCTTGCCTTCGTCTGCCCGCCCATGATGCACTTCATGCTGGTTGGCTGGCATGGCGTCCGGCCGTTCGAGCGCTGGGTGTACACCCTGATTGTGGTTGGCGGGCTGGCGTGCGCCATCCTCACCACGGTCATCGAGTTTATCGTCGTGCGCGAGGATTGCGGTGCCATGGCCGACGCTCTGGGTGGCTGCATCTCTTCGCTGGCCGCCGGTGCCGCCGCGTGAGCACAGAGGAAAAGCCCAACGGCCCATCGAAGCGGCACGCCCCCATTTTGGGAGCACGCTCAGACGCGCGCCTCTCCCTTCCTCCCCTCTCTCCCTGCCTTTCCTCCTTGTCGCATGCGCTCCCGCGCGTCTGTGTCCTTGTATTATCCCCCTCTTTCCCTCCCCCGGGGAAAAAACAAAAACAAAAAACAACCGGGCCACGGAAAGAGGCTCCCCTCCACGCACACACACACACACACACACACACACACACACACACACACACACACACACACACACACACACACTTCACCAATGCAGTTTAGATTTCACTCTCCATTGGCACTTCCAAAGGGACCAACGCTGGGCCCTGCCTGCTCGGCTCTTCTCCACAAGTTCACGCGTTTCTCCACGCCCGGAGCAGTCGATTGTGGGGTATCCGTATCACGTGTGGGCGATTCGCAAAGCTCCCCGGTCCCAACGCAGTCTTAACTTCCCCACGGTTTTTATTTTTTGAAATCCCACCCCCGGCGTGCCTCGGCTCGGCAACGGGCAAGTCTCGCTGGGGGG